CTTTTTGCATTTTGACAGAAAGTTTTAGCTGCTCCTACATTAGTATACAAGATGTCAAACCAATCTAATAATACAGCAGTAAAGTCTGCTACTGATTCACTTGGGAGCAATAGTACTGATATGGTAGAGAAGGATTTAGCTGTGAGAAATATCCAGGACGAGGAGGCACAGGGCCCAAAGGAGAAAAAGTTCATTGAGAGTGATGCCGGTGATGGTAGTAGAAGAGAAGACCAATACTTACACGGACCTAAATTAGCATTATGTTTTGTGTCTATCTTCTTGTGCTTATTCCTTGTAGCATTAGATCAAACTATTGTTGCCACTTTGCTTACAGTTGTGGGGAATAAGTTCAATGGATTTGACAAGATTGGATGGTTATCCGCAGGGTTCCTTTTGTCAATGGCTGTTTTTGCTGCCACATGGGGTAAGATTTCAATTATATTTGGAAGAAAGATAACTATGTTTATTGCTATCGTCCTTTTTGAAGCTGGTTCGTTAATGTGTGCTTTAGCTAACGATATGAACGTGTTAATTGGGGGTAGAGTCCTTGCTGGTGTAGGTGGAGGAGGAATTCAATCGATGGTTTTTATTTTGATTAGTGAAATTGTTCCTTTAGAAGTTAGACCGCTTGGTATGGCAGGTTTAGGGTGTACTTTTGCAGTGGCTAGTGTCCTTGGACCTCTTATTGGTGGTGCTTTTACTTCCAATGTTTCTTGGAGATGGAGTTTTTATATCAACTTGCCTATTGGTGGGATTGCCGCTGCTTTTTTCTTTTGGGCATTCAACCCTCCAAAGACTAAAGGTAGTATAAGAGAGAAACTTAAAATGATCGATTATTTAGGTACAGCCCTTATGTCGGCAGGTTTAGTTGTCTTCCTCTTGGCTTTGACTTTTGGTGCTGGTGATGAGTTTTCTTGGGATTCAGCCGCTGTCATTTGTTGTTTCGTTTTAGGTGGAGTGGTCATGATAATTTTCTGTATTTGGAATTTCAAGTACTCCAAGAACCCGATTATTCCTCCTGATGTTGTAAAAGAGTTAGGAGTAGATGCTTCAACTCTCATGATATTTGGAATGTTTGGTTACTTCATGGCAATTGTGTTGTATGTTTCTATTTATTTCCAAGTTATTCATGGAGCTGACGCGTGGCATTCAGGTCTTCACTTGCTTCCTATTATTATTCCAGTTGTGCTTACGTCCATTTCGAGTGGTATACTTATTCATAAATCTAGATTTGTGAAACCATTTGGTTTATTTGGTGCTATTTTAGGACCTGTCGGAATTGGTCTCCTTTGTTTATTAGATGTTGATTCGTCTAAATCTAGGCAAATTGGTTTGTTAATTATATCTGGTGTTTCCTGTGGTTTCCAGATGCAGGCAGCATTAATTTCCTCTCAGATTTCGGCACCAAAAACCCCAGGAGGTACAATTTTAACAACAACATTTGTCAATTTTGGCAGAGCTGTTGGAGGTACAATTGGTGCTGATTTAGCTGATGCAGTTTATTCAGCAGCATTCCAAAACAAATATGCTGCAGCCTTGTCTAAATTAACTGATAAACTGATTTTATCTGAATTAAGCAATATAGATGAAAGAGCGTTGGTAACATCAACAGATGTAATCAACAGCTTATCACCCGGCGCTCAAAGTTTTGTCAAGGGCCAAGTTATGGAAGCTATTAGAAATGTATTTTATATGTCTCTTGGATTTTCTGCTTTGGGACTTATTGGTTGTTTATGTACAACCAATAAAAGGTTACCTAAAGTTACAGGTGGAAAAATGGCGGCAGAGGAAGAAGAAAAGAATGATACAACAAATGTAGAAACTACGGACAAGAACAGGGATAGTTCCTCATCGAACGACAACGAACAGGATGTCCTGGTTGATCGTTTAAACACTAATTTAGAAAACGGACCTGAACACACAGCAAACAAATAAGAAAAATTATATGGGTTTAGAGAAGAAGCAGTTACGTGAGGTGAACATAAATTGTAAATAGTAAATACCTCTAATGTCTGATGTTTTAGAGACAATTAATATTTGAAATAAGTTTATAAGTTAATAATTAATAAAATCAATAATATATACTATAATATATATATGTAATCAAGTCAATAATACGTAGAACGCATTAAACTTGCTATTCGGAATGCAAAATTGAAACCCTGAGTGGCTGATAAATAAAAAAACTCAATTTAATTGGTAATTACCGCCCCAGTGTGGTGAATGTATGATGAAAGCATTGAGAAGACCTGCAATCAAACCTGCAATTGGTAAGGTAAAAATCCAACCAGCGTAAATCCAAATGACCATTCTCCAGTTGACACCCCGTACATCAAAATTACATAAACCAACGAAGACAGTAGCACCAACAGCACATTGGGTAGTAGAGACTGGAATCTCTAATTGCGTGGCCATGACAGTAGTGATTGCCGCACCTAATTCAATTGCGAATCCTCTGGATGGAGATTGCAAAATCAATTTGTTACCTAAATTACGCATAATTCTGTAACCGAATGTCCAGAGACCAATTACTAAAGCTGCTGCTGCGTAACATAAAACCCAGACTGGGACATCAGATTTAGCACCAGTAGTATTAGTTTTCCAGATTAAGTAAACTGAAGATAATGGTCCTGTAGCATTGGCGATATCGTTTGCACCATGAGTAAATGACATTGTTCCAGCAGTAACAGCTTGTAACAATGAAAATAAGTATTCAATTTTGTTATCATAATATTTGGATTTGGTGTGTAATTGTTTCAAGTCACCAGATAAAGCGCCTTTGGACTGTGCTTGATCAGTAATAATATCCTTAGTAATACCGTGAGTGAAAATTAACCATAATAATAATGGCCACTTCTTTGGACCTTCGAGGAATAAAGCTTTCCAGAGTTGTTTGGTAGATAATGTGGTATCTGGTTCTTGCATGTTGAATTTGACATAATCAGTACCACTGTTATCTCTATGAATAGTTTGGTCAATTGAAGAAGAAGAGATTTTTTCAGCATTAACTTCAATATCTTCGAACTTGTCTTCCTCGCTACGTGTATCGAGCTCTTGTTCATTATGACGACGTCCTTTGTAGTAATCAATAGTTAAATTGTGACCTTGTGGCATTGGAGGAATATCATCAGTGGACTTAAACCAGTAGACTGGGCCAATAAATATATGGTACCATTTTAAAGTCCAATCATTGTGGACCAATTTTCTTCTCATATATGGGAAGCAGATAAGCATATAAAGCAAACAGGCTACAGCACCAACACCCACAATAGAGCCAGCAAGTGCACCATCCGATAAGTCATCTAAATTCAAAGAAGGAGCACCTTTCCAAACAATCAACATTGTTAAGATTGAGAAACAGACGAAGACCAAAATAGGAACTAGGCATAAAGCATTTGTTAAAGAAGTAGCTGGGTTCTTTATTTCTAAGACGGCATACTTGGAGATAAGGAAAATGATGGATGAGAAAGCACCAGCAATGAGTGGTGCAATACCCCAAGAGGCGAAAATTTGTGCAACACCATCCCAACCCCAGACAATATTGTTAGCACCTCTTGCAGCAATAGCTGAACCAATAGTTGCACCAACAATAGAATGCGTGGTGGAAACAGGCATACCAATAGATGTAGCAATGGTTAACCAAATGGATGAACCGACTAAGGCACAAGCCATTGTTAACATAAGCACAGCAGGTTCTGGTTCAAAAATGGCAACATCAACAACTTTGTTTCTTATTGTGTCACTGACCTTATTACCTACTAAAACCGCTCCTAAAAACTCACAAATCGCGGCAATCATCATGGCTTGCCAATATTTTAATGATCTTGATGAAATAGAAGATGCGAACGAATTTGCAACATCATTTGCACCAATATTCCAAGCATCTAAGAATGCAAATATCATTGCAACCGCAAAGATATGATTGAATTGGGTAAGAACCATTGTAAGTTGTTGTGTATATTGCTCTCAAATGGAAACTAATGTGTTGCTAAGTTAGTCTTGTTAAGTTAGTCTTGTTAAGTCTGCATCCATTTGGAGAGATTTGCTTCTACTTTATATATTGTCCCAAATTCATCTTTCCACCAACATAATCATAGGACTCGTGGCCTGTCATTTAATTAATTAATTAATTAATTATATATCATTCAATATAAAAGCTTAACTTTTCACATTGAATTAAGAAAAGTCTTGGAATCTCAGGTGCAAATAGGTTGCAAAGTTTCTTGGCAAGGAGAAAAATTGAAATGCGCGATAAACGTGAGGCAAGAAGTTCATGTTAGAAAGTACTTACGAGCCTGTAGTATATTCAACTAGAGAGTAGCATAGATACTTCTAGCAGGTAGGGATGTTAAGCTAAGATGCAATAAAATCGTGAATAGCCAATATTAACAGTAATAGCAAATCATTGTAAAGTAAGAGTAAGGCGCATGTCGTAAGTGAAAGTATGAGAGAATGCAGTACGAGATCTTGATTTGGAATTTTATAAGTCATGTGCGAGAACAAACGGCCTATAACAAGTTCAAATCAACTTTTTCATGGCAAGAATGTACTTCAGTGTCAATAAGCTTAATGAAGAATTTTTGACGTTTTACCTCTCTAATTCAATTAATTCTTAATTTCTTTCTTTAAGCTACACGTAGCGAAAAGCTGTAAACAATAAGAAGCGAAGTTTCATTACAAACTATAATAGAATATACTATTTGAAGACAATAATTATTCTAGAGAGTTGAACCCTTTGGATGTCGTAGAACATGTGGTGTAATAAAAGTTCTATCTTGACCATGGGTTTTTCATGAACATATACAGGGCTTGGTGATTGTGTTGGTAATCTTACAGATTTCCTAAGAAGATTGAAGTAGGAGGTTTGAATTTGCACCTATTCTCAAATAGAGGCGCTTTTCTACGGTTGCCGAGTAATGAATTCGGAAATTTTATCACAGCATGTTGCATTAGATGAGAAATTGTTAGATATATTCCTAGTTAAAATTTGTAGTATAAAATCTAAACCAAGTTTCACACGTGGACCCCGAATATGGCTCAGTATGCGTTTTGATTACGCGACTATTAAAATACGAAATGCATATAAACGGCTACATATCTCGGTTCCTCCCTCCACGTGTGGCTAAGAGATTCAATAAAGAGACCAGATTCAAGAATCTTGTGACCAACTATTTATTGCTTCTGATTAGGAACCTTTGATTTTCTAAAGGAGTGGAAAGTATTTTTCTTAGATGAAATTATCCTAATATGGCATTCAAATGAGTTCCCTAAGAGACCACGGGTCACACAAGGCAATACCCTAATTGGATATATAATATCTCTAAATAAAAAAAGTCACACGATAAATCAATGGTACGTTGATTAATAAGTTAGGTTGATGATGTTATAAGATAGTCTTATATCGTTATTGTGACTACTACTTTGTTAAATTTCATCATTATCTTTCAATGGATTTTGACTAAGTTCAGTTTTATTAGTTTTCATCCGTAGTTTCTTTTTTTTTATTATCAAACCTGTCTGAATAACTATCAGTTTACTCATGAAAGTATATGGGTTGAATGAACCTTGTATTTCTTTTCAAAATTTACTATAATTCAATCTATGTTTGGCAAATTCTTGTTGTTTTGAAATTCAAGATAAGTTAATGTTAATTCACCAATAAATGCCTCCAGGTTCTTTACATTAGACTTAAGTCTTTTATAAATTAAAGTTATTAAATATAGGTCCATTTTTTAATAAAATCATTTAATTCTAAATCAATTTCTTGACCAGTTCCATGTTAGATCATTAATTTACAATAATTTTCCAAGACCTTTGTTATTTGATGACAATTTCTTAATCGCATTATGGATTAATAACAAACTTGAAACATCATTGACGTGAACTAAAGGTATTTTTTGAAAGTAACCAGGGTACAATTCTTGAGCTTGTTCAATTGCATAAACAACAATTTCCTTTTGATTAAATTTCAATAGCGAGAAACCAAAATTATTGACTATATCAGAAGATTTTGAATGATGGATTTCACAGTTTTTTCAGTCGATTTCTTCTTTGTCACTCGAGTAATAGACTCCATCATTAAAGGGGTTTGTATGTCTCATATGGTTATGATCCGAATACGTAAATTGTTCTGTCATTGAAGTTAAGTATGTTCTTGATTGCTGTTCATTGATTAGAAAATTCTTCTTCTTCTTGAAGATTCATTCCTAATTTATAATCTTAATTTGTTATAACTCATTAACATCATTTCCATATTCTCAGATGACAATTAGTCTCACTAGCATATCTATTTATGGTTCCTAATGATTTGTTTCATAATCTTTATGCATTCTGATAGTGATACAAAGCCTACAAATAATCACGTGTATAATTTGTTATTGAAATATACAATATTGAAGGAGTGGTGAAATATTAGTGAACCAGATACCTGGAAATATTATATTTGGAGATAAGAGAAGGCATGACCATAGATGCATTGTTTAATAGGGCAGATATTTCTGCTAGTATTATGAAAAAGTCATTAGAGGGCAACAAAGAGTACGAAAGAATGTTAGCCGGAAAGCCATATAATTCCTTCGATAAAGATTTGATATTGGCTCGTACGATATCGAGTGAAATTGCAGGTGCATATGCTGATATTAAGTTGAGCGATCATGGATATGATATAGAGAAGCATCAAAAATCAAGGGCTGATTATTTATCCAAGTATTTATTCTTTAAAAGGGTTCCTGATATTTACCTTGAACCTCCATTTTTTGTGGATTTTGGATGTAATATTAAGTTTGGCCATAATTTCTATGCCAACTTCAATGCAACTTTCCTTGACTGTGCAACAATTACATTTGGTGACAATGTTCTTTTGGGACCCAATGTGACATTCACTACTGCTGGACATGCGACAGACCCTCAGGAGAGATTGGATGGAGTTGAATTTGCCTATCCAATTAATATCGGTAGCAATGTTTGGTTTGGCGCAAATTCAATTATATTGCCAGGTATTACCATCGGGGATGGCGTTGTTGTTGGAGCGGGAAGTGTGGTAACTAAATCCGTTAGTAGTGATTGTGTAGTCGTTGGGTCACCGGCGAGGGTGATCAAAAATTTGAAACTGACAGAAGAAAGGGAGATTGCAATAAAAGAAACCGAAAAATAGGATTTTATTAGAAAATATTAACGAACTTGAAGATTATTATCAAATAATCATCTATCTTTTTGAATGTGTCTATGATATATATGGATACATTTGAAATATATTACATACGACCAGGTCAATAAGACGATTTAAAAGCGATCCCAAAGAAAAAAATGATCTTATAATACCATTTTCAATATTCTTGAACCTTTTTGAAATTTGATGTATTTTACGAAGAATAGTCAACCCTAATTTTGCCTAGATTGGTCATAACTCAAGACAGCATTTAATAATACATTAAGTCCATTATCAATCAGTTCAGGGCTAGAGTATTCTTCAGGACTATGGCTAATACCATCTCGCGAAGGAATGAATATCATAGACGTTGGACATCTAGAACTTGTTGAGCAAGAATCATGTCCTGCACCACTCATGATTTCTCTAACATTATTTTCACCGTATAAGTCAACAGACGCATTTTTGATATGGGAAATGCACTTTTCATGGAAATTAACTGCCTTAGAATTAAATAAATGTTCAATTTCCACTTTCAAAGGTTTCGAAGAGAAATCCCCCTTTGCACTATCGGCGATTTTTTTAAATTCCTGCTCTAGCTCTAAATGAATTTTGGCTAATGTTTCATCCGACTCATGTCTAGCATCGTAAACAAAACTCACTTTATTTGGGATAACATTGACTACTGCAGGCTCAACATTAACGATACCAACACTAACTAATCCATTATGTTTATTTCCAACTTCATTGCATTTAACTATCATTTGAGATACCGCAAATAAGGCATCTGATCTTGTATTTAATGGAGTAGTACCGGTATGAGAGGAATTTCCTAATACTGTAACTTTAAACCAATCATAGGCTTGAGCACCGGTAACAATGCCTATTTTTTTATTTTCCTTTTCTAAAATTGGACCTTGTTCAATATGTAATTCAAAGTGCGCACCAAGAGGGTTGGTTTTATAGGACGCAAGCGTTGTACCATTATATCCTATCCTTTCCAATTCTTGTGCAACAGTAACAGGCTCTTGGTCTGTAACTGATTGCAAATTCATTATAGACTCTTCTGTTACATTTTCAGCCCAAAGAGAGGAACCCATTGTTGACTTTGGAAATCTTGCACCTTCTTCGTTAGTCCAATTGACTACTGCGAAGGGATAATTTGGAATATAAGCATTTTCTTTCATAATTTTTAACACTTCTAAACCAGCGAGGACTCCCAATACACCGTCGTATCTACACCCGTTGGCTGAGTATCTAAATGAGATCCAATTGCTGTAGGGTGACCTTCCCTCTTACCGGGATAGACAGCGAAAATATTTCCGACTTGATCAACTTCTACTTTGCAGTCTAATGCTTTGGTTTCTGTGACAAACCAATCTCTAACCTTTTTGTCTAAATCACTTAAGGATAAGCGACAAACACCAGTTTCTGTGGGAGCTTTTCCCCATACTCCTTTTGCACCAAACTGTGCAGTGTTATGGATAGATTTTAAAAGCCTACCTTTAACAATTGGTAAAGATTTACTCATTTTGCTTACTTGAATACTTGGAGAATTTCAAATCTACCGAAAACAGTCAACTTATATTGTTATCTTTAAAGAAGTATAGGGCGGAAAAATAAATGCGACAGCTTAAATAGCGGAAATATTGATGCGCTTCTTTTTATTATATATCTTGCCTGTTGCGCATTTCTATTAATGTTCAAGTCATTTTTCACAATCATGGTATCGAAAATTGAAACATCAGGTTTATACTATAATAAAGATGCAATATCATGGAACTTAATTGATAACGAAGCAGAAGAGGCTGAACGGGATGTTATCAATTTTCATGAAACCTTAGATGGATATAAACGTACACCTTTGACTGAATTACCAAACAGCCATGACTTTGGAGTAAAGAAGGTTTTTGTGAAGGAAGAGTCGTCTAGATTTGGGCTTCCTTCGTTTAAAATTTTAGGTGCTTCGTGGGCAATTTACAAAATGCTAGTCTCTGAATTTAATTTGCCCCGCAATTCATCATTCACTACCTTAAAAAATCATATAAGGAGTGAGAATTTAAATGATGTGATTTGCTTGGTTTGCGCCACAGATGGTAACCACGGTAGGGCAGTTGCAAGGGTAGCATTTTTATTAGGTGTCAAATCAGAGGTGTATGTACCTTTCAATGTCTTACCGTCCGAATGCGAAAAGATAAGGTCAGAAGGCGACACGAACCTCACAGAGATAGGAGGGGACTACGATGAAGCTGTTGATAAAGCATATCAATTTTCATTCCAAGATAAAAACAGATATTTTATTCAGGATACAGCGTTTGCGAATTATTCTACTATACCAAAGAGTATCGTAGAAGGATATAATACACTACTCAATGAAATTGATCTGGAAGTTGTTGGACAAACAGGAACCAATCCAAGTCTAGTCGTATGCGGTGCTGGCGTGGGTTCCTTTGCACAAGCAGTTGTAGCTCATTACAGGGCAGGCTTTAGAAAAAACTCTGAAACTAAAGTAATGATTGTTGAGCCTATGTTTTCTAGTTGCTGCAATAAATCTCTTACTTTAGGTTTGCCTTCAAAATGTGATGAGATACAAACTACACCCACTATTATGGATGGTTTAAACTGTCCTACAATTTCTGAATTGGCATTTCCTATTTTAAAACTGGGACTTTCTTTTTCTCTGCTAATTGACGATGTTGAATGTCATTCTGCTGTTGAAGAATTAGCTCGTTTTGGTATCGCAACGGGACCCTGTGGTGCAGCACCGTATGCAGCCCTCAAGAAATACATTAAGGAATTAATTTCTGCTGGTCATTTAAAGGAAACTGATTCAATTGTTCTCATATCTACTGAATATAGAAGACCATATAATGTTCCTATCTGATAAAAGTCATAACTTATGTATTATATAAGACATGTAATTAGAAATTTCTAGAACAATTAAAGTAATCCCAATTTATTAATCAAACTTCTCTCCCGGGCTTTTGTGTAATTGTTAGTGTATGTAAAGTACGATTTCTCACAAGAATTAGTTTTATCTTCCGTCAAGCATGAAAAGAAAATGCACAAACTCGTATGTGTATAAGGGATACTAACTGGTAAATCAGAGTCAATAACTAACAAACATAGATGCAGCTTGTGTAGATCACTAAAGGTACGCAAATTATGATTTATTGTAACTAGAAACTGTTACTAACTGAACCAGAAAAAATGTGATGGTGGTGACCCTTGCTCCAGATGCAAACAGAGACAGATAACTTGCCAATATGTATATGATGACAAAAGAAAGAAGAAAAGGACATCATTAAGTCACATTCAGGCTTTGGAAAAACATGCTTTTGAGCTTGAACAAACACTCAAGAAATTAGTTGAATCTATTGAAAATCCGGATGAAGTAACCAAGTTGTTAAAACAGATATCAGAAAAGGTTCAAGATGTGACCATAAAACCTAATTTATCCAGCAATTTACATGGCATAAACTTGTCACCACTAGTAGTTCAAGCCTCAAATTCAACTTCAATTTTTGGCCCGGCAAGTATATATAATGAATCATTGTTAATAACAAACGAACAGAGCATAAAAGATGGTAATTTGGTAAAGAGCCCAAAGCATTTACTCAGAAACACAAAATTTAAATTCACTTTTAGACAGAGTGACATACAGCCACCAATGGAAATAAAAACTTCTGTATCATTGTTTTTTCAACTTCAGTATCCATCGGTGTTTTCCTTCATCCATAGAGAATCATTCTTATACTATTTCTTGAGTAACGATTACGATAATGATTTTGTTTCAGAAGAACTAGTCTTTGCAATTAGTGCCCTAGGTTCTAGAGTGAGTGAAAATGAAGATCTAAGATTAAAATCAGAATATTTTTATGATCATTCAAAGTCTTTGGTCTTCAAATACAACGAAGATAGTTGTTTTACAAATGGTACTTCTATTACAAAGTTGCAGACATTGTTGTGCTTAGCATTATATGATATTGGTAGAGGGAGCCTAACAAGTGGTTGGCTACTTTCGGGGCTTGCATTTCGAATGGGATTTGAATTTGGCTTCGAGTTAGATCCAAAAGAATGGAATATATTAAATTTGGATCATAAAAATGAACGGAAGACGAAGAAAAAATTACATTCGGATTATCCTTTTCAAATTCACAACGTTAAAAGTCGGATCTATTGGGGCTGTTACATCGCGGATAATTTTATAAGTTTAGTACTAGGGAGGCCGACAACCCTTAAATTATCTGATACTAACATGCCAGAATCAGAAGATATGGGGGATTTAACGAACATTGAAGAATATATGTATCACGATCCCAAGACAAATATAATTCAATCTGCTTATCCGACTATTAAAGCACTAGTTGAGTTAATCAATCTTTCTAATTATATACTAAATTCTGTATTTGAGCCGTTTTCTAATGTATCAGGAGATCAACTAAATATTGAATATTCCAAAAGATTGAAAAATTTATATTTTTATAATAGAAAGTTGTTTGAGTGGAGATCAAAGCTCCCAATTGTTTTACAATGGAATAGTGGAAATTTAGAAAATTCTTGTGAGAATATATTCTTGCATACTCATAAATGCTACTTTTATATCGTTTCATTATGCTTAAACAGACCGTTTATTCAACTTTCTGTTACACTTGAAGAGGAATATGAGATATCACCTATTTCAATATGTGACAATATTGTTGACGAGATAGGAGTGATAATTGCTGGCTTAGAGACATCGAACGGAAAAGACAGCAGAGCAGTTGGTCTTCTTTTAATATTTTGCTCTATTATGTCTATAAGCATCTTATATATCAAATTTTCGATAGTGAAAAATATCAATGAAAAGCTTGAAATCGAGACAAAGCTAAGAAATTTCTCTCGATTTCTCGATTATGGCTCAACCATTTGGCATGTGGCTAAAAAGCCATCCAGCATTGCCAAGAAGAGAATCGACAATATCTGGAATGACTTCAGCGCAAGTAAAGATAAGCCAGTAGGTCAATTCGGCAATGAAATGCCTAATACACAGGATACGCTCATTAATGTAATGGATAGCTTATTTAATTCAAACGGAGGCGATTTGTCTTTTTTACGACATGATTTGACAAGCATGGATTGGGATAATTTTTTTGACTTTGATTTGAATCTTCAGGACGTGCATAGTACATGACTACGTATGTTGTGCAGAGCCTAAGACATCTATTAACAAGGTTTACGTTAGTGGCTTAAAGTCGTACTTTAATACGAAATTACTATAATAGATGTGAAATGCGTTTAAAAATTAATTAAGAACCCATATATGAATATACAGGTGTGAATCTTTTACAGGAAGTTGTGGTCCAAATGGTGTATTGGAATTATAAAATGAACATTTTTCACGTGACCTTTCTTGAGTGCCAAGCACACAGTTCCAAGAATACCTACTATGGCTGCAAAATTGTTTAACGTAAAAGTTTTTGGTGTCGATGCAATTAGTTTATCACATATAAGGAGAGAATATATTCCTTCATTGTGAAAATTCAAAAGAGTAGCTAACTTTCAAAATGGGATTGAGGTTGTTTAAAGGATCTTCTGATTTTGAGAAGCTGAAACAACTTGAAGTAGTCAACAAAGAGTATGAGCTTGAATCAACAAGCTCAGCTGAAAAGTTAGATCATGTGTTTCAAGATCCAGTTTTAGCAGAGCATTATTATCAGTTGTATGAAGCCTGTGATTATGAATGTAAAGACTACTTCGATCCTGAATTTAGTTGGACTGAGGAAGAAGAGAAAAGAGTTGTGTGGAAAAATGACTGGTATGTCACGTTTTGGGCGTTTCTTATGTTTACTGCTTTAGATATTGACCGGTACAATATATCACAGGCGTTGTCGGATAATATGTTGGAAGATCTAGGACTCACTACTAATGACTTCAACGTTGGAAAGACTATTAATTTGGTTTGTTTCTTGGCAGCCGAGTTACCATCGCAATTAATCTCGAAGAAGATTGGACCGGATATTTGGATTCCATCCCAGATCGTTTTGTGGAGTGCTGTTTCTATGGCACAAGGTGCTATCAAGGGTAAGGCTGGTTTCTTTATCACTAGAGGTCTTCTAGGGGCACTACAAGGAGGGTTCATCTGCGATATTTGCTTATGGATGTCTTATTTTTATACATCTAAAGAATTTCCATTTCGGTTGTCTTTGTTTTACATTGCAAATCCTATGAGTTCAGTGTGGTCTAGTTTGTTAGCATTTGCGCTTTTAAAAATGAAAACCAATGCAATTCCCAATGGATGGAAATGGTTATTTATTATTGAAGGTGCACTCACATTACTTGTTGGCTTAATATCCTTTTTTAAAATGCCTGCTTCGGCCGTTCAAACAAAAGCTTGGTTCCGTAAGAAGGGTTGGTATACAGAAAGGGAAGAAAAAATAATCGTCAACAGGGTCTTACGTGATGATCCAACCAAAGGAGATATGAATAATAGACAACCTGTAACCCCTAAAGAATTGGTTAAAAGTTTATTGGACTATGATTTGTGGCCAATTTATATTGTCAGAATATTAGGAGATATTGGGGCATCACCCACTAATACATATATGACTTTGACGTTAAGAAAGCTTGGATTTTCTACTTTTAATACTAATTTATTAACAATCCCGTTTAATGTCTTGACAGTGATCACGATGCTTACAGCTGGTTATTTATCGGAAGTTTTACAAAGTAGAGCATTAGTTCTTGCTTCTATTCCAGTATGGCTTCTTGCTTGCTTATTTCCGCTAAGATATTGGCCTGGCTCGCAAATTAATGTGTGGGGGACTTATGCTATACTTACTATTCTTCTTGGAGCTTGTCCTTTATGGCCCTTGTCCATTTCTTGGTGTTCTGCCAACTCTAACTCAGTTAGAAATCGTGCCGTTTCTGCTGCCGTGGTCAACATGTTTCTGCAGTCTGCAGGGATAATTTCGGCTAATATCTACAGAGCAGATGATGCTCCTGCCTATCATAGAGGGAATGTTGTATTGATTGGGTGCGCATTTGGTGCTTTAGGTGCATGTATACTTGCGAGGTACTACTATATCTTCAGAAACAAACAAAAAGATAGAGCATGGAATACACTAACGATAGAGCAACAAGAAGATTATATTAAAAACACTACAGACGAAGCCAATAAACGTCTTGATTTCAAGTTTGTTTATTAGTTTTTTTTATTATGTTAATTACTAGGGCTGTTATTTAAAAGTTACAGAATGTTTATTGTATATTTATTTAAAATTATTATACACTGAGAGATTTAATTGTATGTGAGGCCAAGGGGAAATTGAAAGAATTTAAAAAACCAGCTGGCCTAACATCGCTTACTTGAAAACCAACTTAAATTGATAGTAGAAACACCTACAAGACGATTAGAAATTAAAAAACCTTTATTATTAAATATATATAATTTATAAGAAGAACCGATGGCAATTTGATACGTCTTCAGTTAGCTTCCTGTCTAATTTTCGATTATGAATATAATAAATAAGGAACTGAAGTGAAGATATTAAAAACCCACCAAAAACCATACATATCATAGCGAGTGAAGCTTTGCTATAATCTGGAGCATCATTTGCTCTAAACAATTGACTTCCAGCCATTAAACCAATCATTGCAAACATAACCCACAATGCGATTGAAATGCTCCTTTCCTGGGGAGATCTACAATTCAATTGAAGCCAAGTATTTTGAACAGGATGATAACCAACAGCAAAAGCATTTACCAAAGTCCACAACCCGAAAACTTTCCACCTATCTGAATTAACATGTGGGAGTACTTCATGAAGGATTATTAATGTAATGCCATAAAGAAGCGTTGCAACTAAAACAGTCAAACCTCTTGCATTAGTTCTATCACTAAGTAGACCGAACAAAAATACAACAAAGACCGCTAAAAATCCACCCACTGCAGTTAATGCATTCGCTTGAATGCGGTCAAACCCTGCATTTTGTATGATACTTGGGGTGTACGTAGTCAACGGACTCCAAGTTGCAAACACAATAGCTGTTGCAAATAAATGGGGGTATCTCCTCCATTCTAAAACTACTTCCTTTAAATGCTCTTTTTTGATTGGATGCAATTGTTCATCTGTATTTTCTTCACCTATTAATCGATTTCTAAGAATAAATACTTCTCGGTCAGAAAAGAAAGATAACTTCTTAGAAATTAATGGATATGGATGAAGCGGAGACCCTGGCAATAAAAGAAACATTAAAAAACCAACTATAATAGTTAATAAACCTTCAAGGAGAAATATCCATCTCCACCCAGCAATGTTTCTCTTTCCCGCCAACAAAAGAATTGCGGAACAAAGTATTGGACTTAAAGCGTAGCCGCCAAACATCCCAAAGAAATAAATAGATATCCGTTTAGCCCTTTCGTTTTTCTTATACCTACTTGTAGTTAGTATATGTTTGAACTATTTCTGTCATCAAATTGCATATTATTGCATGAACCAAGATGTATTTTATAAAATACAGGGAACTAAATTCAAGAAGTACATACCAGTTTGAGATTATATAGCATGCACCAGGAATATATCCACTTTCTGCGATTCCAAGCATAAAACGAGAAGCATAAAAGCCAGACCTATTCTTTAAAAAGATTTGCATTATAGCAACAAAACCAAATACCAAAATCTGGAAAGGAAGCCATTTTCTAGGACCAAATTTCATTAGTAGCATATTGGAAGGAATTTCTAATAAGAAAATACCTAGAAACATTAGCTCATTTCCAGTATTAATTTCGCTTTGAGTTACATGCACATCTTCTTTGAAGCCTCCAGTCAATGCACTTGCAAGGTTCATCCTGTCAAATTGAAAAACTGTCAATCCAAGAGTAAGCAAAAGTAAAACCACAAAATCGACTTTTAGAACAACATACTTTTCTTCTTTTGATGTCCAATCGCCTTTGTTTGAATCAGTTGATTCTTTCTCGTATGCATCATTCTCCTGTACATCATTCTCATAACTGACTATGGTAGATTTAGATATCTCGCTTTGTTTGCCTGTGTGGGTATTCATAGATTATGCTAAGTCAATAAAAAGAAAGATATATCATGATATTATTAGACATTGGTAAGAATTTTCAATATGAATCGAAGTTGCTGCTTGATCATTGTGTCAGAATGTAAATTGCACACGTTAGTTTGTTCTTTTGGTTTGATATTACACTTTTACTCGAGATTTGGTTCCAGATTTCGTAATATTTCATAAAAATTTCTGAAAGCCACAATTCATTTCTTTGTACTTTTTAATACACTCATAATCCTTTTTTTTTTTGTTGACTAAAATCAGTCGTAGTAGTTTATACAAATCTTCACATAAACAATGACTATCAAATCTATTGCAATTATCGGTGGTGGGCCTAGTGGACTTATCACTTTGGATGCGTTGATACGCGAAAAAAAGTTTGACAATATTAGACTTTTCGAAAGAAGGGATCAAGCAGGTGGCTGCTGGGTATTTGATGACAAACCTCCAGAAAAATTGCCAGAAATCCAAAAGCTAAGCAATAGGACAGCTGATGAACCTGCACCAATTCCTGGGACGTTACCTAGATATGCTCCTAAGACGAGTAAGCAAAGATTCCTTGATACTGCTACATACTCATATTTAGAATCAAATGTTGAAGCTACCACTATGGAGTATTCAGAAGAGCCATTTCCTGCTGGAGGAAGCGATGTTTCTATTGAAAAATATGGGAAGGAGACTCCTTTTAGACATAATACAATAATTAAAGGGTGGCTCCATGATCTATATAAAAGAAAGGGATACGACCATCACGTCGAGTTTGATACTTCTGTGGAATTAGTTTCCAAAAATGAAGCTACTGATAAGTGGGAAGTGACTTTAAGACGGTTTGGTAAAAAGTATGATTATGTATGGACCGAAAGCTTTGATGCTGTTGTAGTAGCAACTGGCCATTATGACGTTCCATACGTTCCTAACATACCTGGCTTGCAGCAGTTCTATGATAATCCAAAAAATACTGTTATTCATACTAAGGCTTATAGGTCAAGGGAGCATTTTAGGAATAAGAAAACGATCGTTGTTGGTGCTTCGGTTTCTGCAATGGATGCTATTCAAGATATTCTACAAATATCTGATCGTAAGATTATTTCTTCCCAGAAGAAAACAAGTCAACCTCACCCTTATTTTGGATCTGCTGCTTTTGAGCATCCATTGGTAGAAAAGCACGGTGAAATCACTAAAATTGATAATGAAAAAGGTA